GCCCATTGCACATCTCTAGTGCAATATAAATAAAGTGACTACTCTACTACTATTATCTGTAGGGTGGTCTTGGGGATTTAAATGCTCACAAAAGAGCCTTGGCATCTTTTTAGTTTCAATGCTCTCTTTCCGTCTCTCTTTTCAGATTTTATTTCTGGTGCCTCCTGCCTCAAACCGAAAATGGTGGCTTTCCGGTTTAAGCTAATTTAAGCTTTTATCTCGTGGTCTAGATAAATGGAAGGGACTTTCCAAGAGTGGATTAGTATTTTTTGAGGTGACATCTGTTGTTAATTTGCGATCAGAGCATTCAACTAGATAATTTGTTATTACAATGCTTACTTGTATTTTCTTGTATTTTCTTGTATTTACTTGTATTTTCTTGTATTTACATGTATTTTCTTGTATTTGCATTATTTTCTTGATTTTACTTGTATTTTCTCGTATTTACTAGTATTTTTCTTGTATTTTTCTTTCTTATTGCTTGTTTTTTTTTCTTTACGCTGAATTTTTGTGTGACTCTCTCTGTAATGATAAGAAGCCCATATATGTCAATAGTATAGTTTTTAACGAATTTGCCATATTTCTCCCGTTATCTCTTTGAAATGGTTCATCGTGATTGTTTATTTGAAATTATAATCCTAAATAAAATTTTACGGATTCAAATTAATCCCCAATACAATGTTTGTTTTATTTCTCAAACATTCAACATGAACGGCTACCGTGCTAGAAGCCATTATACAATTATTAATATTCATAAAATAATAAGATTATATCGAGATTTGGGACTTATAGGATTACATGAATTTATATAAGGATATTATCCTTCAAAAACAGTTATCATGTTGCATTAAATATACTACAAATCACGGTACTACAGTAGTATAATTATTTTAAAAACTGAATTGATTGTCAGAAAGCATTTTTTTAAGACGTCAGTTTCTTTTGACACTTGTTTACCTGAACTTTAAAACTATTAAAAAACTCTTACGTTAAAATTCAATAAAAAAATTGCAATAAACATATAGATAAATTTTTTTTTTTTCAAAACAATTTTCTAAGTGATTCGAAATGAAATCTGCTCAGCGAAAAGAAAAAATTTTCTTGTAAGCTTCATTATCTCCATTCCAAACTAATAAGTAATCACCTCTTTCTGAATGACATTCTTATAAGTTAAGTATCATCTTCAATAAAAATCTCCTGAGCGATTTACAGTCAATTCGTTGCATTTTTGGTTCATTTACCATGCATCTCAGTCATAAAGATAGCACAGGTGGTGAGACTTGGCGGAAAGACAAACTGCCGCATTATTCAAATGATCTCTGGTAAAGATCATAAAAGTTAGTCATTTTCGACGTGCTAGAATACAATTTTGGGGGGAATAGAAGTGGGATTTTTATTTAGTATTACGCTTATTCAAAGCTTTCCCTACCCAACAACGTTTGAACTTCTCTTTTAATATTTACATTAGGAACTAATTAAATAATTCTCCTTACTGTGTAATTGAAATGAAACAAAGATATGTATTTTATATATGATCGCTGTTATTGCGAAAGAAAATTATCATAATATTAAACTTTATAGTGAAGTGAAATTCTATGCGACATACCACTGAATGGATTATTTAGCCACTAGAGGGTAACATGCCTATTTTCACTCCATAAAAGTTATAACAACTCATCAAGCCTAAGGGATTGTTTGTGAGTTGAACCACGTTTATTGCGTTAGAAGCATACGGTTTAATGCCTTCTGGATTGGAAACTAAAGAATTTACTTTCTTAAAATTTAAAAATTAATTTAAAAGAAAGTTAACTGATGGCGCTGCTAGTTGAGAAAGATGCTGAAATAATATTATAAAAATTATCACATTCTACAGAAGAACAAATCTGAAGAACAGTCTGAAGAACAAATTAGCAGACACAAACTTGAATAGTTCTTTTGGAAGGGTCGCAACAAACCGTACAAACCGTACATTTCAGTATCTTTCTTTTTGAAATTGTTGGTCACTTTTGAAACACCCGCTACGTAGTTATATTTTATATAAGATTGTTAGTTTTTTCCGCAAAAAATCTATACTCTATCCCTATTTTTATACAGAAAAATAATCCTTGTGTAGTCCCTATCGAACAACTTTACAAACCTTATAAATATGGATGAATATTATTGAACTTTGACACCCGGTGGCTGAGCGGTAGCACTACGCGCTATCGTGCCACAGGTCCCTGGTTCGATCCTCGGGCCGGGAAAGGTTGACTTAGACTATCATCTCTTCAGTGGGTCGATAAATGAGTACCAAGCATGCTTGGGAACTAAATACTGGGGGTTCCGCGTTTGGCTGACCATCACCTAACAGGAACATCTGCTTCTGCACCCCAGAGCCCAAGGTCAAGAAAACTGAGATGGGCACAGTAGGCCTTGCCTCTCTATGGGCTGTCACGCCACTGAGTTTAGTAGTTTGTTATTGAACTTTATCAATAATTTATTTAAATAGTGTCATAAACACATTCTTTTAAATTTTGCTGACAAGATATATAAATGATAATAATTCATGACTAGTAATGATTAATGAGAAGTTTTTTTTCTTACAATATAATTGATAATTATTGACAAATAAAGCATTGATGCACTATCTTTACGACAACTAATAATTAGTCGTAATTTAAAAATCTTGTCTTATAAGAAACTTTAAACCTGTAAATAATATTACCGATATATTTTTCATTGAATAAATATATATATATATACGTATACATTAAATCTAAAATATAATGCATTGAAAATAATTATATCATGAAATGGATCGAATTTTTTGCAATAATGCAAATACATCATTTCCAGGATTAAATAGCTCATTTTAGAACATAGAATTGGTGAGTTTTCGAAGAAGAGACAAGTGAGAAGTATTTTCTTGAAATTGCTTCAGAACTCTTCTCAAACTTCATTTACACTATATTTCAAAACAGCATTTGACAAGTTTGACAGATCCCTCAATATAAACTTAGGTTCGAAAGTCACGAGTGATTTTTCATATCCGGAAAGTTTGTTCTTTTTTTTATGGCCGTTCAGTTTGCTTACGCCAACACTTTGATAAGTTCTACTCATAAATTTTCGCAAAAGCAACTTTTGAAAACATAGAAATATATTTGCGCAACGAACACGCTTGGAAAAATATTTTGATTCAAATGGTGTTCTAATAGGCTTTTATTTTAGAAGTAATTACTGTAAGAAATCTGTAGATATTTTTATTAAGCAATGCAGTAGGCAAGGTTTTAAGTAAAAACCATCCTTAATAAATGTTTCTTATTTTTTTAATCCTTTTCAAAATCAGGATAAAAAATCATACATGCAAAATAACCAGAAAACATAATGAAAAAAGCTAATGAAATCTCACAAATTTCAATTGATTAAGGTGAATGCACAGACTATCAAAACATGTTTGTTCGCAGATTGAAACTTAACGTATTTTATAATCATCGTTGAATTTCTTCTTGTCACTTCTTGCCATCAAACAAGTTTTGGTGTTTTGTGCTCTCACCTTTCCAAACCGATATTTTTATAACATTTTCATTCGTTATGTTCCTTAACTGAAACATTACTGTATTGTTTCGCTCAAATGATGAAGAGGACATATAGCATAAAGATCATGATGATATCAAAACAACTCATAAACTCAGAACGACTACGGTTATGAAACAATCACTGCAAAGACACATAATAACAAGAAACAATAAGCAACTGGAATTAGAGTACGCATTAGCTAACATTAGCACTATGTACAGTGACAGCTTTAATTAACTCTCACACAATTTATACAATATCGAAGCCAGTACACCTTGACGAAACTATTAAAACTATTATAAGTTATAACTAATTATAATTAATATAAACTAGACTACGGGCGAATAAAATTGCTACACCAGGAAGGAGACATACCACGAACATGAAATTTGCAAGACGGATAAAGCATCTTGTGTTATACAAATGATTAACTTATCAACGTATGCGGCACTGTAGCAAAGCACCTTGTAGCGAAGCAGGCGGTGTTAGAGACACATACAATGTGTATATAAGAAGAGATTTTACAGTAAGCTTCTCATAATTGAACTCAGAAATTGAATTTGAGCGGTGTTCTTGGGTAAAACAGTTTTTTTCATCTTTCGTGGAAGAAGGAGAAATGCCTACCAGTACGTGATCACTACCAGTTTTATCAAGGTCGAATTGTGGAATACCGGTATTGCGATTTATCATACAGAAGTATTGCTGCTCGCGTTCATCGATATCCCATGACTGTTTGCAGAATATGGAATCGTTGGGTTCATAACGGTCATATGGAACGCCGGGCTGGATCTCAGCCGGCCCCCCATCATCAACAACCGAGAAGACCGGCATGTTATCAGCTTGACCTTAAGGGATCGTACAGCTACGTCAACACGAACAACTACTGTCAGCACGAACAGTTCGACGACATTTGCAACAGCATGAAATGTCGGCACGTCCACCATGGCTTAGGCTACCCTTGACACTGCATCACATGCTGGAGGGCCTCCAATGGTGTGATCTACGACGAACCTGGACGCAGGAATAGCATTACGTGGTCTTTTCAGACGAATCCAGGCTTTGTATACAGCATCATGATGGCCGCATCCGTGTTTGGAGACATCGTGGAGAATGCCCATTGGCAGCTTGCATTCGACATTGTCATACTGACACATCACCTGGAGTAATGATGTGGGGTGCCATTGGATATAGGTCTCGAGCTCCTCCTGTTAACATTTCCGGCATTTTGATCAGCAGCCGTTACATTTCTGATGCGTTAGGGCCAGTTGCTCTGCCTTATCTTCGAGACCACCATAACGCAACTTTTCAGCAGGACAATACACGACCGCATGTTGACCGCACTGTCCTGACACAGAACACGTTCGCCTGTTGCCCTGACCAGCAAGTTCTCCTGATCTCTCTCCAACTGAAAACAACTGGTCAATGGTTGCCGAACGACTGACGAGTCACCACTCTTCAGTCACTACGGTCGATGAATTGTGGCATAACGTTGAAGCTGCATAGAATGCTGTACCTGCCCAGGCTTTCCAATCTCTGTTCGATTCGATGCCGAGGAAAATAATTGCTATTATTACAGCCAGGGGAGACTGCTCTGAGTACTGACTCCTCAGGATCTATACATCCAAATATACTGAAAATTTAATCTCTTGCTCTTCCAACTATAACGTATGTACCCAATAAATACCATTCTGTTATTTGCATTCATTCCTGGTGCAGCAATTTTAATGGCCAGAGGTGTATCAGAATTACATCTGATTTTTAAAAAAATATGAAATCTCAAACCATGGCGTAAAATATTATTTGTACAGGACTGCGCGTTTACCCAAGATAGGTGAAAATAAAAAACCCATATGTAAGCAAAATGTGGGTATTTCGGTTAGTAACGTTCATTGATCGACGCAATTGCTGATTGAAGCCATTGTGACTTGATGTCGATTGATGCAACGTTACAAGTTATTGCATTACGAAATCTGATAATTTATGATAAAATCTGACACCTGTATTGTCACGTGACCCAATGTGGAGAGTTTTACAGTCAGCTAAAATATGTTACAAATCCTGTCACGATGTCATAGTAGATAAGAGTGAAGCTGCTATGGAGCAGTAGTAACATTGATCTAGTCCACTTTTTCCCTTTCTAAAATAAATAGACATAACTGCATAATTTCAGCAACATTGCAGGATATTTTTTTTAAATGAATGAAACTTACAATGAATATGCATGATTACAATGATTTGCAATTATTTTTACAGTGTAAATATTTTTATGCAACTAACTTAACCTTTGCATACCTGATTAATTCATTAATATTTGTTATCTTTTCTAGTAAATATATGCTATTTGATAAAGCAAAACAATTCTAAAAGTCCAGATACCTACCACTACGCAAGACAACTTTCAAAAATAAAAATGATGTTACTGATCCCGTCTCTCTCATGATAGTCTCACTTTGCTCGAAAAAAAATTATCTCCATTGTGTTTTATTTATAGAAGCCAACGTGATTCTTGTTTTTATTTCAGTTATCGTTCATTTTATGGAAACCTATTTTAAAAGAATTACTAAAACCAAAATGCACCGTGCACGCTGTTTTAGATAAATTTAAGAGAATTTGCCAACTTATTCTAACATGAAAATCACGTTGATCTATGAGTTTCTGATTACGCGACTAAAAACTATGCATTAAAAAATGTACTTTTAACTCTGTTTTGGATTAGATAGAGCAGTAAAAAAAACTGAAGAAAAAGCAGATTCGCCAACAATTTAATTTATAACATTGCTTAATAGTAAGCTAATGAAAGTAATTCTTTTTTTAAGATCCCGCCAGAATGGAATAGTTAAAATTTAGGATGATTTTTTTAGAATCAGTATCTAAAACTTCCTTTGGTTCCTACCTTTCAAATTTTCAGACCCCTATGGTTAAGTTATAAGCACAAACGGTTATTAAGTTATAAGAGAAACACGCACACACGAACTCCTTTAATTATTATACTCTACTGGTCATTAAAATTGAATCAGATCAGATAAAATTGAATTTATCAAGATACAACGACACACTCGTGAAATTGGCATGTCAAATAAAAATGGCGTGATATGGAAATTATTATTTTTTTAGCACATTTAGGTGAAACATACAACAGTGGCGATATCCATAATCAGGGGCTGCGCTAAGTATTCGCCACGTCGCTAAATGCTATAAAATCATAAATTTGGTAAATAAAATTGTGTTTTGGCGAAAGTATTGACGAATAACTTTTTCCACCATAACACGAAGATTATGTATTTAACTCGATCCTCAAAATTATACCAAAATGAATTTTTCTAAGCATATCAGAATTTTTTGAAGTTATACATCTTATGCGACTTCCAACAAGGTTGCGTTAAACGTTTAACGCTGCACTTTTATTGGCCGGGAAATCACGTGGTAGGATCCAGTTTTCCATATTGTTTTGGTTCTCACTAGCATAAAAATGATAAAAGTCATAAAAGTATTGTTTTTCTGTAAATATTTTTTTAGTTTGTTTTGATTCACATATAATTTAATAGGATAGTATTTTTTATTTTCAAATTCAGTGGATAACAATTGTAAAAAATGAGTGAAAACAATCCCACGGACAATGCGACGGATTTAATGTTATGTTAAGGTACGACTCTTGTGAATATCAATTGATTGTTAGGTTTTCTCTTCTGAAATTACATTATGACGCATTCACATACATTATTTATACAAATACATTTTCCAGAGCGAGAAGATGAGGCAACCACAAGCACTTCCACAGGTTCAAGAGGTCCAAATGCACAATATTACCGTGATTACAGACCACGGAAGCGAGCGGAGCTGGAAAAAGAGTCGTTGAATAGAACTAGTGATCCTTCTACGATTGTTGATTCTTCTACAATTAACGTCACAGGCGAAGTTTAACTTCTGCCGCGCGGAGGGATTCCACGCACTATTTTTTTATTCGATTGCAGTAATTTTCGGTAGATGAGCCGCATAACCAAATAGAATTGGGTACAAATAATACAAGCCTGAAACAAACTACCGTAAAATAGTTTTCGATGGGGAAAGATTAATCACAAAAAATTTTTAAGATTTGCATTTGGCGAAGACTATTGAAAATTGGCGAATAGTTTCGATAGTTGAATAATTTACTGACTAATAATTTGAAATCCTTAGCTCGGACCCTGATAATGCATAAAGAAGCAGAGAATCAGCAGGACTTTTTTTAAGACTTAATTTGCATTTGAACTTTATTTCCGGTTTAAAAATGTATTTTAATATCTCGTTTAGAATTAAATGACTATCAGCTCGTATATGACTTTGATTAAGGTTCGATTATATACAAACGAATTAAAATTTATTGCATTATTGCAGCTAATGTTGCGATCGCTAAAATATCCACAGAATATGTTATCGATGTGTTCACGTTGGTTATTCGAAACGTCAAGTTAGATTGCGGCATCCCGGTATTAGCAGTTAAGAAAGCAGACATTTTATCAGCTTGGTCACAAGAAGTGACACAACCAAATTATGAATACAAAATATAGAAAAGTCGTTTGCAAGAGAAAATTTAGCACTCGAACTTTTGGCAATGTTTACAGCAGTGTGGTTCGCCAGCGTAACCTTGCTACCGTGGATGACGCATCGCAAACACCAGCAGCTTCAGTGGAGTGATCAATGACCAATCTGAACGCATGAATGGTGGCGTAATCTCTTTGAAGATGAATGCCAGTCTGTATACAGTAGTTAGTATAGTGGTCATATACTTGTTTGGCGGCTTCACATTGAGCGCATTTTGTCAACTTGTATTTGACATCGCCATACTGGTTTATCACATACAATGATCATATTGGGTTCCGTTGGATTTGTGGGCCAATCGATTTTTGTTTCCATTCCTGGTATCTTAATCAAAATCGGGGACGTTTCAGACATTTTAAGACCATTACCTAATACTGGAGGCCTCTTCAATGTTATTTTTCTGCAGAAAAAAACACGATAAAATTTTGGCCCTCATGGTCCTCGCCACCCTTGATAGTAAACATTCCCGACAGTCATCGTGGTCAGCGCATTCTCATCATCGTTGAACACTTGAAAACATATTGGTAACAGCAACTGATGAGTAACTGACTTGCTGCCACACATCAATCGCTGCTCTCAATGTATAGGCTTGAAGCTGCATTTATTGACTGTGGTTCCAAAAATAGGATACAATCACTGTTTGGCACTGCCAGACAAATAATGGTGTTATTTCAGGCAAATGGGACATTTTTGGTGCTAGTTTCTCAGGATCCACACGCTATAATTTCTCGTAACTTTAATCACATTCAATACTATATATTTGTCCAATAAATACCATTATACTGCTTACATTCTTCCCATGTGTAGCTACTTTAATCGCCAGAAGTGTATATTAATTAAAACCTGACACTATAAGAATTGTTATGATACTCATTAAAGCCCATATTATAATACCTATATTAAAGTTTGACACCAATGCAGGCTTAGCTTAAGCCATTACATGTTGTGTTTCACAACTTTGTAGAAACACTTCCTAAGTATAAAATCATAAATAAGGTTGAAAATTTGAAATATAATCAAATATTCTTTCATATTTCGTGTTTGCGTTTTTTTTTTATAAAAAAATAGAAGAATATTTTGTATTTAAGTTTATGAAAGCTTTGTTGCCATAAATATTTTAGTAATGATACTCATATTGATTTGTTAGTCCATATTTTTGCAGTTGTTACAAAAGGTTCACGAAACAAAGATACATTAAAAATATATGCATCCATTTGAACTCACTTTTGCATTTTAAAAAACAAGTACTATTAAGCTTATTAAACAAGTACTATTAGTACTTTGCTCACTATTAATGATCTATGATTAAATGAGCAGTTAAATACTTTGAAAATTATTATAGATGTTTTCAAAACTTCAAACTTCCAATGCTAGAAAACCTTTTGGTGTAAAAACTCTAAATATCAAAGCATGTGAGTGCTTGTTTTATATAGAAGGTTCCTGTTTTTCAAATTTTTTAATATCAGCAATGCATTACTTTTGTTTAAAGACAGCTAAACTCAACATGCAAAGCTTGTTATTTAAAAGTGTTGTCCTAGCTGTTCCGGAAGAACTTTCCATTTCTGCTTCTTAAAAAGAATGATGCAAGAACATTATAATGAACATGTCATTATTTTTCAGGAAAAAATTTTTTCCCATGTTTTTCCAAAAGATAATAAAAAAATAAGCAAATGCTGCATAAAAAGAAATACACTTTAAGAAAAGAAAATAAGACAAAAAAAGTAAATCAAAGAAAAATGCTAACAAGAATGACAATTTAGCGAACAATAGATTTTCAATAACCGAAAGTGAGTAGTAGCTTACGAGGACAAGAAGTCTTTAAACATAAGATGCATGTTCACCTTACGATTACCAGTGCTTCTTTCGATGCTTCTTTCCTTATTTTATTTTTTGGAATTTTAAGTAGTATAGTATGAAAATCCGACTTGAAATTAGAAAAAAAAATCGCAACTTCAGATTTTTAAAAATATTAAATTTGATGAATAACACGGCAGAAATAAATCTCCCATATTTGCGACTAAATAAAAAATTAGTA